TGTTAGATGTGATGATTGTTTAGTAATTAAATATAATTACTGCTTAATCAAAAGAATAATCATGAGAAACTGTGGTCAGGGGCCTAAGAAAGATCACAAAAAACTCATGTCAATGTATACAATAGAACAACATAAGTTTAATAATTAATATGTAATTTATATAAGGATAGAATATAAAATACGTTCAGCTCGAAAGCCATGTGGGAGTCAGATTTGGGTCTGTACCCCTGATTCCCAGAGCTCTCAATAAAAGCACCTGCAGATAATCATATCCCGTGATTATGTGTGTTCCTGAATGCTAACATGGCTATTAATTAACCATAGCTGTTAATAGGAGGGGCACCACACGGGTCTCTACCCAGGGGAGCCGTCACCAGAGCGCTCCTCTCCTCACACCCTTCCTGAGGAAGCTCTGCTCCTGCAGGATTCCTCATTCCCGGGACAAGGGCAATCCACCGAGCACCAGCCTGTAAATTAATTCAGTCCAAAGCTCCAAAACTCCAATTTTCCTAGAAGTTCCAGGCTCTCTCTCCCCCTCAGGTATGTATTTCTCAGGCTTTACCTGGGAAAAAAGATTTGAAGGCCCAAGGTTTTAACATTACAACTGATCAGAGATGCTTGGATATGGAAGCTTCTCACTTCACTTTGATAAAAAAACAACTGCAAGTCCTTTTCTCACTGCACTGGCACTTTTATTCCTTGGCCATGACACACAGGAGAGCAGCTGCTGCCTGCTCTCCCAAAGCCCTTTGAAGAATTAAGCTTAAGTTATGGATGGCAGCAGGCACCAGCGACAAATCAATTCTTGCCAGAGATGGATTTGGGAGATCCTGCAGGTGATATTACCAGCTGGAATAAGGAACAGATACAGCTCTAAAGGACAGTTAGTTACAACTGGATGTATTATGAAGGGATTTAAACCTCCGTGTTGCTCGAGGGGGGAAAACATGATAGTGAAGGAAGTATTTGAGTGAGAATACACAGGATGAAAAGCAGAGTTGAAATGTAGGAGATTCTCCGTAGACTGGCTGGAGAGCAAAGCAAAGATTCTTCACTCTGTGCCCCCATCCCCGTTTTAATCATGGAGAGATGTATCTAAAAAACCTGTGGGTCTGATAATAACCAAGAAGTACAATTTTAGAAAGGAATTATTGAGTAAAGCTCAATAAGGCTACAAGAATTTTAAAAACATGAGAGCGATCTGCTAATCTGAAAAATAATGCACAGCCAGAGTTATCACTGGCATCAACACGACTGCCTGGTTCTTTTATTCTTACTATTCAACATCAATCTTTGTTTATCCATTTAATTTATAGAAGCCAGCCCCAAAACTAAAACCTCCTAAAAAATTATGATAGCCCCACATTTTCCAAATAAAATAGGATTGTTTAATTTTGATTTGGTTTTGGAGCAATAAAATTGAAATATTTTATGTACATCATAAGAGAAAAAAACAGCTGAATTTTCAAAAGCACTTAGTGATAGCAGAAATCTCAGTGTCATTTTTAAAAGTAGCTTTAACAATCAGATCTCATTGAAAATTATGCACATTTTCATTGTAAATTGACTTTTGAGAATTTAGTGGCATGCTGCTTACTGAAAATGGCAGTGGGTGTTTCTGTATTTTTGAAGGTCTGCTTCTTACAACCTTCAGCATTTATTATAAACTCACCCTGAAGGCCTTCTGCAGACAAGCTACACCTACTTTGAACTTAAATTTTATCATATATCTTCCAGAGGAACACTGTGAAAAATTATATTCATGGAACAAACAGATATAATTACTGGATTCCCATCAGCCAGTGATGTCTGCAGAATCATGAGTGATTTTACCAGACCTGAATCTGCCTGTACTGTGGAGCAGATTGTTTATCTTCAAAAATGTGTATCTGAACAAATGTAGCATTGACACTCCTGAATTGTTTGATTTACTGACTGAATCCTATTAACAATATTGGTCCCTTTTTAATTTTTTGTCCCAGTTTAAAATGCAGTGTACTAGGTGAGGAAAGACTCCTAATTTTTCTTGTGATAATTACTTTTCCCCTTCAGGCACCTCTGAGAACTCATCTTTAAACCTCTGAAACATCAGGAATGAACTGATTCCTACCTTTTATTGTCAACAATGCAACCACCTCCCCACAGGGGCTGGGGGAGAGGTGCCCAAAAAGGCTCACAGAGATAATGTCGACTTAGGCTGTACCATTGATTAAGCAACTTGGCCAAGACCAGTAATTACAACTGTGCTATATTGCACAGAAATCCTGTAGCATTCCCATGTCACAGGAAACAAAGTGCAAAGTGGAAGGAATAAAAGCCAACACACAGAGTTTTCTTACCTAATGATTTCTAGTATGTCTACTGGTTAAAAAAAACAACCTTAACATGGAGCTGGGATGATGCAGACAGCCAGGATGGGACTGACAAAAGAGGAGCCCACCAGGAACCTCCAGCGGAGAACCTGAATATCCCAGTTCAGCAACCCATGAAGACAAAGTGCAGATATCCTACACCATCACAGAATTGTTTGGGTTGGAAACACCTCTAAGATGGAGTCCAACCATCAAACCAGTACTGCTGAGTGACAAGGTGACTAAACCATGTCCCTAAATGCCACATCTGCACATCCTTTAAATCCCTCCAGGGATGGGGACTCGACCACTTCCACTCCTAACAGGGATTGGTAGACAAGCTTCATTCAACTCACACAGAATCCAGTCCAAATCCAAACAAAAGTTCCCTGGAGCACTTCTGCCACCTCTTTAGAGCTGCAAAGGGTTAAATCCTCAAAGCTTCATCTGACCACAAGGAGGTTTCACCCCAAGAGAAAGCTCCCAGTCCAGACCTTCAAGCACATGAAGGGGATGTCTACTCCAGCACTATGATTGGCACCTCTGTGTCTCTTAAACAGTTTTTTTTTCCTCCTAATTCCTTTACAGGACTGTTAGCAAACTCCCATACCACCTGAGCCTGATCTAAGGAGTAAACAACGAAAATTAAATTAATGTCATGCTCAGTAACATTTAGAAATTTGCAAGCTAAGCAGCTGCCACTTACACCTAGTAACTCAAAGTATTTTACTGAAGGAAGTTTTGAAATAACATATAATGATTTTGTCAGGTTTGGGTGTTTTTTGGTTTGTTTTTTTTTTCATTTTACACAAGCAGCATATGTTGCACGTTCTGTACTCATAGGCCTACACACACCCAGGTTTCATTGCACTCACTCCAACTCCTGCCAAACAGATGCTGAGGGAAAGCAACTGAACACAATATGGGATAAAAGCTGTCTCAGACCAAAATGCTGGGTTAGGAAAAACCTTGTGGGTAATGCAGTATGCTAAAAACATTGATTATATATTCATATACAGAATTGATAGGTAGTGAATTAATATTTGACTGCTTTTATTGAAATCGTGCTATTAAATTGGGAAAAAAAAACCCCAAACTAATATCAAGAATTATGTTACAGGATGGCAACTACCAAAGTTTTTTAAGTTTCAGAGTATTTATAGAATTCATTTTACCTAAAATCCAGATTCTCACTAGTATCCTGACAGCAACCTGAAATAATTTGACAAGTGATAAAGGGTTTGAAAAGGGATGGTTTTAAACCACCCTTTGAAATAACAGAATGGCAAGTGATTCCCAGTCCCCAAGCACAAAGTACTGAAATATTATCCTGAGTCTGACAGACACGTCAGCAATTTCCTGTAATTTGAGTCATACCCAATCTTAGGGCTTAGCTTACTGCAGTACTTTGGTTGTGACGAAGACTAATGACAGAATTCAGTTCAATTTACTCTCTGAAAGACAAAGAAGTTATCTTTTTCCATTAAAAATCAACATTTTTCATAATTTTCACCCTTTCCCATTATGAAAATAATTAATTTGTACTAAGTAGAATCAGTTCAGTACATGAAAACTGACATGAAACCCTTCATATTCCCTTTTTATCTTGAATTTAGTACAGTGTTGGCTCAAAACATGGTATTACCTACTAGAGGATTTAAGGCTTGGCTTACAAATCTAATAAATGAGAAACATCCATGTGGTTACTTCTGATGTACTTCTGATCTACTCAGTAACATCTCTTTGGATGACCATGACAACAATCTTTTCTAACTTCAGGTATGTGAATTCTGCTGTTCTGCTGCTTCTGAACTGATACTGGTCAAAAAAAATCTCCAATTCATTACCTTTAATATGAAAAAGGAACTTTGCATTCCAGAAGCCAAAAATAAGCTCATCTACCCTTCCCATAACTTTCAAAAACTGTCAGGAAAACCTATTTTCTTCCACACTCACAGCTACAGAAAAGTGATTATACTCTGGTACAAACATGTTATATAGACTGTCAAAGAAGTGAAAGGATTCCACACTGAAGAAATAATAAAATCAAACCCAGTCAAACCCAGGTATTTTACAAAAACTTACATTCTTAAAACAGGAATAAAAAATAAACAAATCACCATCATTCAGAGTGCAAAGGTCAATTTTTGCATCCTAAACCCATAGAGAAAAATGGTTTAATTTACCATATAGAGAAAAAAAAAAAACAGAGTTCACTTTTGTGACAAAAATTAGATGGAGATTTCTTAAAGCACCAGATATTACAAAACATCATATCAACCTTGCTTTTCAATACTGTTATTTGGCAGTCAGCTGGATCTAGGACAGCTGTTCTATTGTCTGTATTTAAATTCAATTTGAATTATCTGTGTTTTTCAATTCATTTACATTAAAGATAATAATAAATTTAGCAATAGAACATTATTAAAGCAAAACCTATTATGATTAGCACAAATTTGCATTATCAAAAAATGAATTTTGTAAATTCGCTTATGAACATCTCCCAAGTGTCATGATAAAACTGCACATCTTAAAAAAAAAAAAAAAAGTCAGGGTTTGTAAATAAGATTCCACATAAAAAAATCAGGTGAAGACTTAACAGTGGCACCTGAGAGTATTTAAACAAAAAAAATCTGCCAAGGTACGTACCTGTAAATCTGTTTAATATTTTCAGCTTTGATTTCCTTGAGAATTTTGTGGTAGATTTGAGGATTATTTGGTTCTTGAGATGTTGGGGGAGAAGGGCATTTCTTGCGTGCATAATATCCTATGACAATTCCAAAAATAAATAAAATCAAAGCAGTGCAAAATACTTTCAGTATCCTAAAAAAGCTGCAGCGGTTGCTCTTTGGTGCCTGTCTGGTGTAGTGGGAGATGTAGTCAGGGTCTTCCTGGAGCCTCTGGAATCTTCCCTTTGGGGAAGAGGAAGGCTGGATGGGCTCCAGGTCGAGGTCAGGGCTCTGAGAGTTCCCCAGGTGCTGCTGGGCTGAGCTGTCCAGTCGGAAATGGTCAAATCCAGGCTCCTCCAGCTCCTTTTCCATGTCCCACTCCAGGTCCAACGCTGTGGCTTGGAGCTCATCGTTGTCGAGGTATGGAGAGTGCCCCTGTGCTCTCTGGTCTGCGTTCACTTTGTGATAGGCCATCTTTTTATCTATTAAAACAAAATTTAAAACCTAAATGTTTGTTTCTATATGCACACATAAACAATTTGTTTATTCTTTGTTAACCTGAGGGAACGAAACAGACAATAAAGCCCAAAAATTGGGTTCTCAGTATTTCACTGTCCCCATTTCCACTGTCCTGTCTTTGGCAGGATCAGCAGTCCCATGAACATCATCATGGGAAATATATTGTAACAATATGAATAAAAGGAATTTAAAAGTGCCAATGGCAAACCACTGAAATTATCCAATTATTTTGTCAGTCCTCAAGATAATATTAAAAAATTGAGTGAAGGCTCAGAGTTTCCAAAACAATTATTTGTTACCTGAAAGTAATTTTAAAGCTTAACAACTGTGCGCAGCAATTTCATTTCACATACCATACAAAATAATGCTGCTAAAATAAAGTTGAAAAGCTGGAAATAATATGAATTGCCTGATCTGATTCTAAACACAAGGAAATGATAAATTAAAAAAGAAACTTCAGGGTGACACTGTACTTACATATCAATAAAAGGCTTCCATTTAGATGGAGCATTCTATTATTTATAGGTGTTTTAAATGCATAGTTCTGGAATGACTGATGAATTTACTTAGAAATTGTCCCAGCTGTTTTGCTCCACTTATTTTTCCCATTTTAATGAATCAAAAGCACTGCCAGGTAAGTATTTGTAACAAAATCATTCTTTTAATAGCAAGGCATAACTGTAGCACTTCTAGATATTTCTGTGGAAGTAGAAGCCCTCTACAGGGAACTCTGACCTCCAGTACAAACACTCAAAGTCAATTTTCAACAAATCATTTTTGACAGACTGCAACAACAGGGTGCCTTTCCCCCCACACACTGACAATAGCCATTCCAACACATAAGCATCTGTAATTTAGGGCTTTTCAAACATCAGACTCACTTCTCAATTAGAATAGGATGAAAAATAAAGATATGAAACCTCTCATAGTGAGGAACACTAGACTGACACCTACAACACTACATTACCACTCCATTTTTACGTTTTAAGGCATTTTCACTCTCCGAGACTCACCTCCAAATAACATTACCACATAACAGAGGAACCCACTGTAATGGCAAAGTGGAATTCAGCTTTTTGAAGCTCTCTGAAGAGAGCGAACCGCTGGCAAGCTCCAATATAATGAAACAGCCTATTGTCCCCTGAAAGGCTATCTGCCTCTATACAATACCAATTTACAGTGCCTATTTTCCCCCTACAGCCATATAAATATCCCTCACCTATAACTGTCAGACAGCCTGGGAACAGCCAGGAGAGCCCACACCTTCCAAGCCACCATTCCAGTCCCTTTGCAAATCCATTCTCCCTCTGCAGCCCCAACTCTTCCAGATGCACTGGGAGCACCAGAATTTAGAGTGAGCTGAACTAAAGCCTCTTAAATTAGTGTGAAAGCCTGCATTATTTATTTAAATAATGACTGAAAATTTAGTCTTTAAATTCCAGCAGAGTCCACAAATGGCTGCAAAGTCAAAGAGGTGCAAAGCTGCTGTGCTTGCCCTCTGTCAGAATCTCTGGCATTGATGATTCCCAGATTGTAGAAAGTCTCTGTCTTTCTGCCCCGTTGCCAAAGAAGAAGCCATAATTCGTCTGTGCTGTTTCAAGGTTGTTTATTCTGTTTATCTCTAACATGTTCTGCTGCCCTGCCGCAGCTCTGTCCTGCAGGGCAGCGTGTGGGGCTCTGCCCTCAGTGGGATGGTACAAACATTAAATACCACAAACTACCTGTGCTGGATTTACAATAACGTGCCAATATCTGTCACCTACGTTGGACAGTGTGTCCCCAGCCTGAACCAACAGAAAAATGCCAACACCACAGTGAAACATGGAGGGCATGAAGAAGGAGAAAAAGGACAAGGCACACCCAATTTCCTCCATCTTGTCCCCTCTGAACCCCTAATCTAGAATCCTAAAATTTTACTTTTGCACCCGTGCCACACTTAATTATTACTTATATCAAACACTCAGAGCTGGTAATTCATCCTGTAAGATTGAAAACTCTTTTCCATGGACAGAGATCACAGCCAGTGTCTCTGGGGGCTCTGTCCAGGGGGGTTCCTGACCCCTGCCAGGGTCCCAGGGCAGCCAGAGGGAAGCCCTGGATTCCCACAGCCCTCGGTGGGGTTTGTTAGCCCAGCCCTCAGGTGTGTGAGGGATCCTCTGAACTTCAGCACCACAATGCCCAGGGTTGTGAATCACCTGGAGATCTCCCAAGGGAGCAATCTGCCTCTCCATCCAGGTTGTTCAGGAAGATATTTAATAATGCCAGCCCCAGAAATAACGCCTGCTGCACTGAGCTTCCTGCCAAGCACCAGATGGACATCAAACCATGTATTAATATTCTTTGGAAAATTCAGATAACTCATTTTCAAGCTATTTATCTGCCCTTTCACTCTGTCTCCTAGTCTGTTAATGGAAAGATTAACTTGCAAACCATCAGTGACAGAGATCACTGCTAGGTAATACCAACTGCTCAAGAACCACATCTTTCCAACTCTACTTTGTATTGATTTTTATTAGAAATTAAAGACTGATGCTTTATCCTTTAAAGCAAAACAAATCATCACTGCATTTCATTAACACGATTTCAGCTCTAGAATTCCTGAAGTCACTTAACAAACTGTTTTAGGCAAATAGGTAAAGCCTTGGCAGATTACTACAGTACTAGCCATAAACCAGAATTAAGGCAGTTTTTCAGATGCAGTTTCATGGCAAGTATTAATCTTGTTGAGCATATAAATGTTGACCATTGCCTATCTGTGGTAGTTAAATTTCCCCCATATTTATGATATTTTAAAAAGTGTGTTATTGTTCAATGGAGTGTATTAATAAAGGTTATTTAAATTTACATATAAATGCATAATAAAAATTCATATGAAATTTCTTGAAATGGTTATTATGCAGATGAGTAGTAACCCCATTCCACAGCTTAGCATCTCAGCAATTCAATTTCCATTCAGAGCACCAAAACCAGTTTCCTCACTTCAGAAGAAAAAAAAAAAAAAAAACCAAACAAAAAACCAACAAACAAACCAACAAACACATAAGCAGTTTAATTCAGTTTTATATTTGAGACCAGTCTTTGGAGTCGGGAATCTCATTAGCAACACACGTCCTTTAGTTAAAGAATGCAAGAGTAGCTGCAGTTGTTAACTTCACTATTGCCACTAATATTTCTAAGCTCATTGCTCCAGTCTAAGGACACAGCACAACTTACCTTGAAGTATCTGAGATCAGGGCCTGCACTGCATTTAACCATTCCAAAAGTAATTTGACAAAGGGTCTCCTGGTTCTTAAGGCACAGATCATTTGTGCCATGAATCTGTATCACCTGTTCTATTTAGTATTTGGTGTTTATCTGGTTAAGGAAGTAAGTATAACTTAAATATTATTTATTATTTGTAGCTTTGGCTTGGAACTGGAAGGAGAAAGAAAACACTACATATTTACAATAATAGTGAATTGCGAAAAACAAGACAAAAGAAATACAGAAAAAAATGAAGTCAAGTAAAAACCACTACAATACTCTAGTTCAGTCTTCTCTATAACACAGACCATAAAATGAACATATTTTTGAAAGACATTTTCGAAAACTTCAGGAGATAGAAAATTCACCCCATCTGCCAGCAAGCTGTTTCAACATTTAATTGTTGTTAAATACATGTTTTATTATGAAGATAAAAGAGCAACTGCAAAATGCCAGAAGTCTGAATATGCACCAAGTGAGCTTTAAAGCCACTCTACAGGGACAGCAAAGGGGATCATAAACTCTGGAATACTGGACAGAGCCAAGCTGATGACCAATAAAGCTGATGTACATTTCTATACTTCCATTGATTTGTGGGCAGAATGTTTATAGAGAGGTATCAAACCAAAGCTGAATATCCTTTCAATTAACTATACACAAGAAATCAGGGGAGTCAGCTTTATCAGATTGTTGTTGCCTTAACGAGCCCATTTCAAAACTCTCTGCCTATGCTTTGACCTTAAAAATAACACATTTACATCCTGCCTGATAGGAACATCTTGTTATGGAACCACCAGAAACTTCTTTTCTTGACAACTTTCCCTGCTTCAATCCCTTATCAGAAAAGCTTTTAAAAACTATAGAATATGATCTTCATTAAAGGACCTGCCAACCCACCAATACCTCCATAACAGAAAGGCGAATTTACATGAACATTTTATGAAACCAACAAGGAAAATGCAATATGAGCTTACTAGTGTAAATTGTTTGCGACTGGTGCTGCAGTTTTTAAATGCAACTAATAAATAGCTGAGACAATTATCAGGCTCATGCCCAGCAGGAAGTGTGGCAAGTGTTAATGGGCTGCCCACGGAGAGCCCTTCTCAGGCCACTTTGTGCTCAGCACTGAAAAGGCAAAAGTCACCCAGGAATTCTCCTAAAGGCATTGTGACTTCTTTGTACATCATAAATCCCAAATTCCAGGGTTGCTGGCTCATCTCATTCTGAAGGGGTCTTTCCTTTTTATTTTCTTCTCAGTATCCCCTATACAGAGTGCTTTTAAGTCCTTGTACTCCTTTTGTGTCTGGGGAAGCCCCCAAAATAGATGCAGCATCACCTGTTTAAAGGGCCAATATCTGTGCTTATCATGGAGCTCAACACCCACTGCACTTGCAAGGCTTAAAAGTATGTATGACAACAAATTAGTACTTTGTCAAAAGAGATGATGCCAAGTTTCAGGCCCAGACAAATTTCTGCAGAGTTCTAAATCCCTGACAAAACTTGTTTGCAGAAGAGATTATGATGCCCTTGTCAACAGCAACGTTACACTGCCCTGTAATTCAAAAATAATAATGTGATATTTCCATCACCGCTGCCTTAATTCCATGCAGTAATGATTTCTCCCTTCCCTCAGCTTTGGGATATGGGCTTGGCAAGCAGTTCAGTTACAGCAGGACAATTAAGTACCTTGTCACTCCATAGAGCCACCAGATAAAAACAAATGACAAAACTCACCCTTGTTCATATTTCGCTGAAGATGAATGCAACCTGAAAGACTGAGCAGTGTTGTAGCAAAAACAACAGAGAACAGACTGGAGAAAGGTCTGTAAAACACAGCTAAGTTGAATCTAAAGCTGTCTCTTCATTAGTTAGTCTTTTCTGGCACAGATAAATGATAGGGTATTTGACCTCTTCAAATCTCTCATTGATTTTATGATAACACAAACAGCCATGTGGCCCAGGATAAATTTGGTATCAACACAACAGGTGACCACATGACAGGAACAGGGGCTGTGGTGCACCCTGACTGATAAGACTATGATCATTGATAAGATGATTGATAAGATTGATCATTGTGCAGGATGATGCCCAGCTGGAACAAGAGTTAATTTGCCTACAATCAAATGCATCAGCCACCTGAGCTGTAATATCCTGGGCCATCCAGATGTGCATAGGTACATGGATAGATTTGCCTGCTGCCTTTTCAGAATCTCTGAATTCTTGGGGCTCACAGAAAGATTGCAGGAAGCTCCTTCTTCCCCAGCAGAT